ATGTGTCCATGGTGACGAGAGTGAACATCAGACTGCGAATGTGGCAGTGGAGATTGAAGGGCAGACATACATGTTGAATGCTGGTGTGATGGATACTTATCCCTTTCCAGTCATACTAGGTCAGGATGTACCTGTGCTGGCAGAGTTACTGCAGGGCAGTCAGACTATGGCTACTGGCTATGTGATGACCAGGGGTCAGGCGAAGGAATAGCAAGGTGATTGAGAGCGATGGTAAGCGTTATCCTTTGCAGGAAGCTGTATGGGGGGTAAAGGCAGGAAGCCCAGGTCAGAGAGACGCAGGAACAAAGTTATGGGTACTGAATTACAAGAGAGCTTACCTTTCCCACCACTTGATGACAGCTAGGTGTTGGAAGCTGATTTTGTGAAGTTGCAGCATGAAGATCCCTCTCTTAGTTCCTGTTTCAATGAGGCAATGACACTAGAGGAGGGTGGCATGGCAAAAGCGGGTGGAAAAGAGTGCTATGTGCAGAAGGATGGGAAACTGTTTCGGATAAGAAGGGATGGGGAGTAGCTGGTAGTTCCGGAATCTCTGACGGCTAAAGTGTTGCAAGTGGGCCATAGTATTCCCTGGCCAGGGCACCTGGGTCAGCACAAAACCTATGAGCGAATAGCCGACAGTGGCCAGGTCTCTACCAAGATGTGGTTGATTATTGTCGGTCTTGTTCAGTCTGCCAACACACAACACGTTCAAAGAGAGGCACCAAAGCACCACTAATAAGTCTCCCCATTATAGATGTCCCCCTCACACGAGTTGCAATGAATGTGGTGGGCCCATTGGAGAAGAGTAGGGCAGGGCACCGCTACATCTTAGTCATTTGCGATTATGCAACCCGATATCCTGAAGCCTTTCCATTAAGAAATACTAAGACCAGACAAGTAGCCAATTGTCTAATTTAGTTTTTTTCACATGTGGGGATCCCTAGAGAGATCATTACAGATCAGGGTACCAACTTTACTTCAAAGTTTCTGAAGCAAGTATATACCTTGTTAGGGATCCGAGGCATAAGAACCACGCCATACCACCCGCAGACTGAACGGTTCAACTAAACCCTGAAATCCATGCTCAGGAAGTTTGTGTGTGACACGGGTGCCAACTGGGACCAGTGGCTCCCCTATCTGCTTTTTGCATACAGGGAGGTCCCACAGGTATCCACCGGCTACTCTCCGTTCGAGCTGCTGTATGGGTGACAGGTGAGGGGCCCTTTGGATGTCCTTCTTGAGACCTGGCAGGGGGATGGTCCTCAGCAGAAAATGAACATTGTAAGCTATGTGCTCAAGATGCGGGACAAGTTGGAGGAGTTGAGCACCATGGCCCGTGACAACCTGGCCCAGACGCAGGCACGCCAGAAGACCTGGTATGACCAGACTGCATGCAGTCACACTTTCATTCCCGGGCAGAAAGTGCTGCTGCTTCTACCATCCTCAGACACTAGCTTGCTGGCAAAGTGGCAATATGAGGTTTTGCGCAAGATTGGGCCAGTCACTTATGAGGTCGCCATGCCGAACAGACGATGATCCAAGTAGATCTTCCACATCAACCTGCTCAAGGAGTGGATCTCCGACCAGAGACATCAGTCAGCAACCAGAAGTGGGTCGAGCAGTGGAGGAGGAAGAAGTGCTCAAGGAGCAGTACTTTCCCACTGGCAGAGGTGAGGTTTCTTACCCCACTGTCAACCACTTGTCGCACCTGCAACAGGAGGAGCTGATGCGGATCTTTCCCGAGGGGCTGTTTCAGGAGTAAATTAAATAATTTACTTTGATTCTGGGTCTTATTTTAATCCTATCTAGACCAGGGGGGTTGGGGGGCGGGGGGCTTTGTATGCCCGCGCCAATTTTCATGTCGTAGAATTTCTGAACGGCTTGAGCTAGCTACTTTTCCTAAAACTTGTCTGGGAACAATTTTATACTAATAAGTCAAGTCCACCATCTTCGCCGTTTCCACGGCAACGGTTTTCTAACAGGTATGTCTGACAGAAAGTCTCCGATTTTGGTTTCATCAATGTAGTTTCCAGATTTTCTTTTTAACATATACTTATTCCATAATATTAACAATATCTTACGTCATATAATGTCAGCTTTGTTAAATAGAATTAATTTATGCTAATTTGATGACGTCATTGAATTTATTTTATTTTTCTATGATGAAAGCTTCTACTGCCAACAAATAGATGTTTTTTTCCATTATTAAGGTGGTCTTTAGGCTCTATATTCAAATCAATATACTAAACACAAAGAAGTTGATGATAACAACAGAGCAAGTTTTGCTTACGCAAACCTGTAATCCTTTCTAAGTTTACTTTCCTTTCTTTCTGACCTGAACTTCTAAAAAAAACATTCTGAGTAAATGAAAAACTATGTTCACGGAACATAAGTAGAATTTTGTGTTTTTTATGGCCTCTCGGAGCTGGTGCACTATGGGATAAAATAAGCACAGCATTCTGGGTAATAAAAATCAAAACATGATGATGTCATAATGACGTCATAATAGGTCATAATAATACCAAAATGATTGTAGTGATTTAGTTTTATGTGTACATCATCCCCTGCAAATTTAGTGGTCATACGCCATGTTGTTTATGAGTTAACGGGCGGGACGTAAAAGGCCCCCCCCGGCCCCAGAAAGCCCCAGAAAGCCCAGTCTGGATAAGGTTAAAAGAAACTGTTGTCTGTATGGTGAAAGAAGGGGAGAATGGTGCTGTATTAATTTTGGTTGGCCCATCTGTACGTTTATTGTACTGTTTAGTTTATATTTTCTTAATTCTAAATTTCCCAATGTGATGAGCAGGTTGGTATAGCCCAACTGAGGTGGTAGGATGGTTATAAAAGTAGGTAGTTTTAGTTGCCCGGGGGGCTGGTGAGTTACGGTCAATGGTATTTGCTTTTCCCTCAGTTGTGTGAGGATTATTTGAATTAGCCTGTAAACTAATTCTCCATCACTCTTCCTTATTTTTGACTCTCACGTCAGTTTTATTTTGGTTCTTTTTTGTAAATATTTAAAATATTGGTTTATAGGCTATTTCTTTTTGCCTCACTTGCACTGTAAATATTTTTTTCACCATTTTCTGTATTCAAGAGAGAAATAAACTTCTTAGCTTTTTTTCAATAATTACCTCGTCCGTGTGGATACCTCTCTATGCACCTCCTTAAGACGCCTGGTCCCGTCTATCTTCAACAATGATAACGATGATAAGTGTAGGAGCCTAAATGCAATTTTAATTCATTAATATTTGGACAATAATCTAAGTTCATGGTGATTTATGTTTACTCTGTTAAAAAGGAATATTTACAGTATTTACAGATTTGAATATTTACAATTCATATTTACAGCAAGTAAGCCCGTAATATTTAATTCATTGCACTTAAAATGCGTGTGGATAATTCGGATTGTTTGAGAATTCATCTGTATTCCTTATGTGGCAGTTTGTAGCGCCCCCCCTGTGGCTTTATAGTGGTTGCGCATGTTTAATTGCGGCCAAGCACAAGCTTGTATGGGTAGGCGTGGCTACCAGGTCAGATATTCAGTCAGGTAGCATGGAATGGAGCCACACAGTTTTTTGACCTCTTTCTCTATCTCTCCCACTCCGTTTTATTTTCTCTTTGTGGACAACTGTTTATTACTGTTTAATTTTTTGAAGTAAACTATTTAATTGAATCCAGAGGATCCCGTGGAGTTATTCTTTGGTCGTTGCTGTGGATTACAATGAGGGAATGATTAAAGCGTCAAGCTAAGGCTTCATTAAGAAGGAACCAACAATAAGAATAATAAATTTATTTACATAGCACGAGCAATTCAGCACAAAGTGCTGCGCAAACCGGCAAAAAAATAAATGTATAAAAAAAGTAACAGTACAAAGTAGGAAAATTGAGGGAATTAAACATCAAGTTAGTAAGAATAACACCAGAAAAAAGAATTTAGACTGCAAAATCAAGCCCATAAAAATCTAAAAAGAAAAAAAAAATCTATACATGCCATGAAGAATAGAAATTGCATATCCACTGTATGATATATAACAAAGAACTGCATAAAAAGAGGGGATAATCAACCTATAAAGCCAAGCAATTAATCGGTTCCTAATTGGTGATACCGTGGATGTATGGTAGCAAGAAGTAACAATTCACAAGGAAAGAAAATTACACAGTCAAACCTGTTTTGAGTTTTTTCTATATCATTAGGGACAAGCAAATTATTCTGAAGGAACTGAAAACACCTGTGTTCTGTAGGTGTTTGTAGATACAGTGGGGAAAATAAGTATTGAACGTGTCAACATTTTTCTCAATAAATATATTTCTAATGGGGCTATTGACATGAAGTTTTTACCAGATATCGGTAACAACCCAAGTAATCCACACATACAAAGAAATCAAAACAAATAAGTCCATAAATTAAGTTATGTGAAATAAAGTGGAATGACACGTGGAAAAGTATCAAACATGCTTACTGAAATTTATTTAATACTTAGCAGAAAAGCCTTTGTTGGTAATGAAAGCTTCAAGATGCCTCCTGTATGGAGAAACTAGTCGCATGCGTTGCACAGGTGTGATTTTGGCCCATTCTTCCACACAAACTGTCTTCAAATCTTGAGGGTTCCGGGGGCCTCTTCTATGAACTCTGATCTTCAGTTCTTTCCATAGATTTTCAATTGGATTCAAGTCGGGTGATTTACTGGGTGATTCTAGCAGCTTTATTTTCTTTCTCTGTTACCAATTGAGAGTCTCCTTGGCTGTGTGTTTGGGATCATTGTTTTGCTGAATTGTCCATCCTCGTCAGCATCCTGGTAGATGGCAGCATATTCTTATCAAGAATGTCTCGGTACATTTCTCAATTCATCTTTACTTCCATTATGGTAAATGGACTGCTTTTATATATGTGACATGACATGACCACAAAGCGCTTTACATTAATGGCTCACATTCACCCTGATGGCAGCAGCTGCCATGCAAGGCGCCACCCTGCTCAAGGACACTTCGACATATTCTCTGGAGAGAACCGGGGATCGAACCAGGGACCTTGTGATTCCTAGCCCGCCCGCTCTACCTCCCGAGCCATGCCACCCCACGTGAAGTCTTCATTATGTGAAGTCTGCCAGTACCATATGCTGAGAAACAGCCCCACAGCATGATGTTCCCACCTCCAAACTTCCTTGCTGGTACGGTATTTTGGGGGTGATGTGCAGTGCCGTTTGTCCTCCAAACATCGTCCCATGAGCAACACAAGGTCATAAGTGACATTTTGTATGTCAGTTACTACCTTTGTTGACAAGCAAAAGGGGGCGACACTGCGTCCCATGAGCAACACAAGGTCTTAAGTGACCATTCAGTGGAAATTGAGCTTTCAATAAAAATGGACAAGGCAATGTCACCCCATTTTGCTCGTTAAAAAAAAAAAAAAAAAAAATGTCACTTACGACCTTGTGTTGCTCATGGGACGACATGGTGTATGCTATGAAAACAGTTAAATTTTGGTGTCATCTGACCAGACTATATTCTCCCAGTATTTCATAGGCTGGTCCAAATGTTGTGCAGCAAACGTTAAAGGAGCTTCAACATGCTTTTTCTTCAGCAATGGAGTCTTGCACAGTGAGCATGCATAGAGGCCATGGTGGTTGAGAACATTACTGTCTTCTTTGAAACAACTGTACCTAATTCCAGGTCTTTCGGAGGCTTTTGCGAGTGGTCCTTGCTCTTCGACAACTCTTCTGATTATTCTTTTGACTCCTCTGTCAGAAATCTTGCAAGGAGCACCTGGTCGTGGCCAGTTTATGGTGAAATGATGTTCTTTTCACTTCTGGATTATGGCCCACGGTGCTCAATGGAACATTCAGAAGTTTAGAAATATGTCTGTAAACAATGCCTTCAGTATGTTTTGCAAAAATAAGGTTGCGAAGGTCTTAAGAGAGCTCTTTGCTTTTACCTATCATGAGATGCTTCTTATGTGAAACCTTGGTAATGAGAAACCTTTTTATAGGCCATCAATTAGGACTAAACTAGCTGATATTAATTTGCACTGATGGGGGGCAGGATTGCTTTCTAAATACTGACAGATTTTAGCTGGTTTCTTGGCTTTCCACACCTTTTTACACCTCCTTTTCTTCATGTGTTCAATACTTAATCCCTGTGCCATTCCATTTTATTACACATAATTTAATTTATGGACTTATTTGTTTTGATGTCTTTGTATGTGTGGATTACTTGGGGTTGTTACTGACATCTGATGAAAATTTAATGTCAATAGCCCCATTAGAAATGTATTTACTGAGAAAAAATGTTGACATGTTCAATACTTATTTTCCCCAATGTAATTGGTCTCACAATGGTTCGCTGAAGTCCCAGAGCATTAGAAATGGCTCTGTAACCCTTTCCAGATTGTTAGATGTCATTGGCTTTGTTTCTCATTTGTTCTTGAATTTCTTAAGGTTTTGGCTTCATCTGATGCTTTTTGTGATGCTTCACAATGCCCGAAAGGTTCTGTTTAAGTGATGTTTAGATTCAACTGGTGTAATGGCCGGTAGAATTAGGAGGCCAAGCGCAACGACCAGAGAGAAAGTGAGCAGCACGGACACAGTACAAACACAGAGAATAATACAGACCAAACGAAAGTACTCACGCTTCCAAAGGACATATAATTGTCCGAAACACGGAAGCAAAGCGAGATAGAAAAAAGGAGAAGAAACTCCAATAATCAGAAGATAGAAAGTCATACAAAACCTGACTGCAGATATCTTCGCTATAGTCAGCGGTTAAAACAGACACTCTAGCGAAGGGGGCGTGCTGGACTTCCTGCTTATATAGAGTCCGGGGAAGCGCCGCCCCAGCTCAATCAGCCAGCTGGGTAAAGAATCCGATAGCCAAGGAATTCGATATCGTCCCGGGACAAGAGCCGAAAAGAAAAGTCCAAACCACACACACACCTCACAAACCATGACAACTGGGCTGGAAGAAATTATGCCTGAGTGTGCTTTGTGAAATTGAACCCAAATATCAATTAAACTTGTTTAACTGGCAAATTTAGTTGCTAAGGGGGCAATACTTTTTTTTTTACATAGGGCCAGGTGGAGTTGGATGACTTTAATCCTTCAATGGATGAAATCATCATTTAAAAACTGAATTTTGTGTTTATCCAGGTTATCTTTGTCAAACAGTAAAATTGGTTCTATGAGCTGAAGCTTTTAAGTGCGAAAAATATGCAAACATGGAAGAAATTGGGAAAGGGCCCAAATACTTTTGCACAACCCTGTAACCATTGTACATTCATGCATGTCTAGCAAATGACCACCACTGCTACTCACCTTCTATCTCCCAATGCCCAAAAAGCATTTCTAACCATTTCAAGATTTACTGAGTGGGATAGCTCTGCTTCCTGCTTCCAAAATTTGAGTGCTGAAGAGCTTAGCTCATTACTGCAGTAAGGAGACAGGTAATATAATTACAAGCTGGTACAATCTTGATATTTGTGGATTACGTTCCAGCTTTGAGTGACTGTATAAGAATCTGTAGATGCCTGATACTGTGCTAGGCTGCTCAGACTTTCCAATCTCTGAACAGAAGTTAGAGCTCAAGAACAACCTGTTTCTTTTTCACATCTCCTTTATAGTAAGTCAAGAGGAAGAACAAGGTTTTTCTCCTGCAGGTTTATTAAGGCACTGTGTATTGTAATAAAGTTTAGGTTTTTTTGCTTAAGTGGTCATTTATGCTGTGCAGGCAAAGGTCCAGGGCAGCATAGAAAAAATTAACCTTTAATGAATCTTTGGGCATAGCTGTTTGACATCTCTCAGCTGACCTGGTTATTTTTTGTGATTGTCTTATGTCAACTACAATTAAATTTGAAGCAATCTCTCCTGAATGAACCCAAAAGGCTTCAAACTTCTCATCATTTCTGAAATATGAAAGCTCTGCCTTGCAGTCTTCAATCAGATGTGCTGCAACAGTCATGCCCGTATCCTGGCTTTGCAGGTACTTGGAAGACCAGTAACTGCAAATATCACATTAAATGCTACCAACTATAAACAAAAATAAAAAAAAATTAATCGCTCTCCTAATTGCCATGGCTATGCTCAATGTTTCTTTGTCAGCAAATCCATTCTCTTGCATCCTTGCAAGTGTTTCCACAACAGATTCTATGGTTTTCACCACAGCTTTGCAAAGGTCAACAACAGGATTACAAGCTGATCATCTTGTTGTGCTAGGAGACTTCAGGGATGTATTTTTAGAGGCATCTTTATTTAGTTCTTCCTCAACAAACAAAAAGAACTCTTTGCAGAGGTTACCACACATGCACACAGCTGCTCTATAACACCGTTAGTATTGAAAAAGCTCTGCAACAGATGTCCACTACCAGGTTTAATCTGTGAGCATAACACTAAACAAAGGCTGCTGTTATACTGAGGTCATGTTCCTTTAAAGTGTCTCGCAAGTTGTTCGCAAAATGTAATCCAGTTGTTTGATTGGCCTTAACCACATCAGGCATTCCTGGATTCCACCCTGCTTGTTGGAGTGGCGGGAAACAATTGATGGTTGGTCTTGCTTAGACAAATCAAGAGTAGTATCTAAACTCACAAAGAACAATTCTACCTGCTTTACTTCTTCAGTGATTTGAGGTCCAACCTCCTTTGCCACACATTCAATGAACTCATTTTGGCTCTGAGCTGGGAGAGTTTGGATAGCCAGTAGGGTTCTTCCCTGTTTGCTGCAGGTGCTCTTTAAAGTCTAAATCATAGCACCCTACCATGGAGACTCTCTCTCTAAACATCCCTCCATTTTTTTACTTTTCCGATTCATCATAGCTTCAAAATGGTAAATGTAGCCAGGCAAGGGCTTCTGTAATGTGAGTCCGTCTGGGCAGAGCTTCATATTGGTTTTATTTTTCCTCTGTCCAAAGCTCTACTTGTTTAGGCCAGTGCTGATAGCTGTTGGTCACTAGGTGGGGTGGCTAAACCATTTTTGCATGTTTTCTTCATGCCTCTGGCTGTACCCATACTTTTTAAAGCCACGATTCTTATCCTGTGCCTGTTTCCAATTCCAGATGGAGATGGTATTTGTGTTGGCTTCAAAAACTTGAAAACAAAGGCAAAATGCTGCATCAACTAACTAGGTGTATTCCAGGCAGGGGTAGCTCTTACACCAACTACTTTTAAAACTCATCTGTTTCTGGCAACACACAATAAGTGGGTACTCCTGTAGAAGACCCGCCCATTCATAGAGTGCATAACCAAAAAAAAAAAAAAGATAATCCAACTTCAGCGGGTTAATACACCACGTTTACATCGTTTCACCATTTCTATGCAATTTGCTAAGGAAGAGGACGTCTTTAGCTCTTCGTGGATACCACTGGCTGCAACATTACTGTTGCACATGACTGATTAAATGACCTTTGAAAATGGTAGATTCGGATTTTATTTTTCCTACTTGGAATACCATTGGGTCACTGTAACTCAAGTGGTTGATACAGAGGACAACAAATTTTTCTGTCGCAAGAGATCATTTTTTAAAACTGCTGGATAGATACTATGGGCAAGGATATTGAGCAGTTTGCACATCAGGCTTGGCTGAGGAGTTTAATTCATGCAACTCCCGAAAAACAGAGATAGGAGTGAACTCGTCAATATTCTAGACTGTGTTCCAGCCCTGCTTGCTTGTGAATATTCAATAACTCAGAGCCGTATATAGAGAGAGTCTGGCCAACTCGAATCATGGGCGCCAAACAAACGGCAGATGATTCTACGGCTTAACCCTTTGGGCCCGATACCATGGTCGCATCAAAATCGCTAGTTTTAAAATACTACGAAGACTCCACATAACATGACACTTTGCTTGTAGTATTATCAGGGTCCCTGCACATGAACTCGAACATTGAGAACATTGTTCGTATAGGCCTACAAAGAGTTTGCTTAAAAGACGTTTTTGTTAGCACGGGACCTACCTCGAGTTGTCTTCCGGGTTGTTTCCTTAGGTGAGTCCAGTGTTAAAAGCGGTATTTAAGTAAACTCCTTGTACACAAACAATGTTCACAGTGCTCGAGTTCATGTGTAGAGAGTCTGGTGATGCTACTAGCAAAGT